TCAGCTACTAGAGTCCAGCACGCGGTTGAAAGCCTGCATGGGTTCCTATTACGTCCCTGCACCTGGTCCGGGTCACAACCATCAGGACCAAAAAAAGTCATTTTCAATTCCATACAGACGGGGTCATCCGACGGCGACTGCGGCTGGAAAATTGGACCGCCTGCCAATCCCGAATTAAAGCAGGAGCTTAAACCCCCGTATAGATTCGACAGTTAAATTTTCCTTTTCCCTTTTCTTTTCCATATTTCCTTTCCTTTTATCTGACAACGATATCTATCGCGCTCACCTAACCCATAACCTGGTTAGGGCGTGATCGGCGCGCAGTACAAATGACAGCGCCGATCCTTTCAACTTTGCGTCCCAGGGTGAGTTTGACGGCTACCACGGCCACAGGCCGGTAGGGCTCTGCTGTACAACAGTGCGCCGAGCCTGCGTGGACCAATGGAAAGCCCTGTGGCGCACCTTTTTGTTGAGGCAAGCACCAAACAGGGCCGGTCGACATAATGGTACAGCCCGGGTACCAGGGAACTTAATTCTGGAACATACCCATAGGCCCCCCCATAGGCCACGACACTGGGACAAGGGGCCGATATCAGGCAGGGATCTGGTACACAGAGGAGGGCCGGGACACTGCGCCCTCCAACAACGCGCGATAGGGAGTGCGATTTGTAGGGGAGTCAGGTGTCCTGAGACAGGAGTGTTAGAGGTCAGGAGGGGTGTTGCCTGTATAGAGGAACAGGACGGGCGACTTTTCCTCGACACTGGGATACTAGGTGTCCAAGGGACCCACGAGATCCGAGACGAGAGCAGAAGAGTGATAGTGATATTGAGGGCGGTTGACAGCTAGATTTAGGCATTTAGAAATCGGTTGCCGGTTTTGACATTAGGTTCGGGCTGCCGGTTCTGACATGAGGTCCGGGCTGCCGGTTCTGACATTAGGTCCGGGCTGCCGGTTCTGACATTAGGTCCGGGCTGCCGGTTCTGACATTAGGTCCGGGCTGCCGGTTCTTACATTAGGTTCGGGCTGCCGGTTCTGACATTAGGTCCGGGTTGCTGGTTCATACATTAGGTCCGGGTTGCCTGTTCGTGGGGTAATGGCAATAGACTCCCAGTACGAACTCAAGCCGGAAGGGGAATAAAAGTGTATGGAGTGTGACACGATGGGTCCACGTCCGGATGAGGAACAACAGAGCGCTTTATACCGAGCATCACCGGATCGTGCCCTGCGAGACCTCAAGGATCATACCAAGCAGAACGCCCCTTTGAGATGTGTATAGCAACCTAACGACAGAGACCCGGAGGTAATGGCTTGTCCGGTCGTCACAGAGCCAAACAAGGCTGCTACGGTGGTGCGGATGGAGAGTCGAACCGAACCTCCGAGTTTTCGATGAAAGTCACTTATCTGACGTTCACCTACGTATGAACGAAGAGACGATAGAGGTGACCGAGGAAGGGATGACTGGAGGGACCAGTACATCAGGGAGCAGCTTTGGAGAGACAGAGAGAGAGCCGCACCGCCCATGCGGATCTATGACCCAGAGACGGGCGAGTCGTTCTCCCTACCATATGAGAGGAGAGACAGGTTCATCATCTCGCACCAGTCTTTCGAGTTAAATACCAGGCCCCCCGTTTTCAAGGGATACGGTATC